TCCCCGGGTGGCTCCGCATCCTCCCGTTGCCGTGGTAACCACCCAGGGATGCCCCCCTTCCCGCGGCCCATGATCACTGCGCTGTCACGGCCGCGGACAGCCCGTTTGATCTCACCGGCCGCCCGCCAGTGCCACGCGTCTGAAGATCAAGGCTCGCGCTAATCTACACCGACAGCCCCCGATCTCAGACAGCCCCAGACGCCCAGATCTGCCAGTTACGCCAGGGTTCCTGGCGCGGAGCAGACGGGCAGCGTCACGCGGAGGACAGGGGAGGATGGATCTGCGGGTGTCTGGCGGGAGGGGTGCGCAGAGCCGTCCGCACTCCGGGTTTCGCAGGAAACAGGGACATCAAAAATCCTAGTTTTGAACTGAGTCGAATCGCCGAGTGTTTGTTGATTGACTGTGTGACCCCAAGACCCCAGGCTGCGGCTGTGTGTGGAGACCGGCTCTTAAAGAGCTCTGGAGGTAAACTGAGTCCCCGGGGCGGCCCCGACCCCACGGGGCTGAGTCCTCCTGAGGAGAGGCCGGGAGGACGTGGACACACAGAGGGACGTGCGTGTGAGGACCCAGGAGCCCGGGAACCAGGCCTGGGAGGAGCCCTCCCTCTGTGCACCTTTGTGTGTCCTTCAGCCTTCAGCAGATTGGCCCAGCGCGGTGAGCCCTGCGGACCTGGTCTCTGCCCCAAATCCCGCTGTCCAGGGCCGCACACACGTGCGCACGTGTTGTGTGAACCTCGGAAGCCACGCTCCCTCTCTGGGCTCCGTGCCCGACACCCCAAGTCTCGTTTGTCCTCCCTGCAGCCTGCGGCATCCGGGGCCGGGGCTGGCGGCCGGCGTCCGCTGGAGGAGGTCGGACGGTCGCTCGGCTGCCACCTCCACCTGGGGCCTCCTCACCCTCTCCGGAGTCCGGGCCGGGCGCTCAACACCACTGCGGTTGTGTCCCCAGCTCTGCCCTGTGCTCACTTTCTGCCTGAGAGAAATGCCCCGCTGTCTCCTCCTTGCATAAAACTGCTGCCCTATAAAAGGCAGCATCGCGGCCAGGAGGGCCCCACCGAGCGGTCTGCGCACCTTCACGGGGTCGTGCAGTGCCCGCCCTAGCCCGGCCCCCATTCCGTGCCAACTTAAGGTCCTCCTGCCTCAGCCTCTCAGAGTGCTGGGATTCTGGTACGCACTGTCACTTCAAAGGCTTTTTGCTTTCAAAACCCAGAGCTTGCTAAAGACGTGGACAGGGGAATTGTTTTCATCTGGAGTTGGCCAAGCCCACGGACAAGCCACTCGGGGGCTGTGACCACACCCATCCCGCCGACCTGGTCGCGTCCTGCAGCGGCTCCGGCCTCCTCTCTCCCAGGGTCTTCACCGGCCCTGATCGCAAACCCGGTGACGGCTGCCGCCCAGCACCGCCCAGCGGAAAGGCGGCTCGGAGACACAGGCGCCGTGTCCTCGTCCACCCAAGTCCCCGCGTCCGGCACCGCGCTACTCCCGGCTCCTCCCCGAGGTCGGGGGGACGGGAAAGGTCACCGTTTTGGGTCCACTCGGGACATCGAGGCGGCCGGGACGGCAGGAGGAGGCTGTGCACAGCCAGGGGGATTCTGAGGGGCTGCAGGGATGTACACCTGTGACTGCGATCCTGCGATCCTGCATTTGGGAGGTGGGGGTGGCCTTGTGACAGTTATCACTATGGTGTCATTTTGAAAAGTCACCACTCACCGTATTTTTAGATCACACCCTGCCTATAAAGCAAGGCCGGGAGAAGCCCCGCCACCGAGGACTTCACCTGTCTCCGCCTTTGTGATGCGGCTGGAGGTTTTCCAGATGCCACCAGCGATGTCTGCAGAGGGCAAATGGACTCTGGAACGTGGCCCGGGCCCCCTGCCATCCCGTCCCTCTGACTTATGCCCCCACCCCTGCCCCAGGTGGGCGCGGTCTGCATTCGGAGGCCAGAGTGTCCTTTGGACCCATCG